TTCTAATTCCGATATCTATATATAATAAAATTGATTTCAGATCAAAATTCTTCTCGATAAATCTGAAAAATTCTATTCAGACAATATAAATGCATAAGATTATTATCAAAGTAATGATTTGCTATATTTATTGATGAACTTTCAAATTTTCTATTTCTTGAATTTAATATTTCGTTATATAATTTAGATCAGATATATATAATTATATATATGAGAAATATAATACTGGAGAATCTGAATCATTTCCGTAGAATATAGTGGCACGGGAAATTCAGATTTCAATCTGAAAAAAGAAAAATTAGAATATAAGATATAAAAATCTCCTAAAGAAAGAAATTCGAGATATATTCTCTAATTTGTCAATATTTATATTCAATATAATAATCTCAAATATCTTTTTTTATTGAAAGTAATAAGATCAATCTTGCTCAGCGAGAACTCGTATTGAATCCAAAGAGACGATAGATAATCAGATTATTTAGATATCTCATTTGAGAATATCTATCTATTGGAAGCGAAGATCATTCTTGTTTTATTTCGGAATATCGAAAATATGTCATTTTTCATTATGTTTCAAACTTGATCTTTGATCAATCTATTTCGAGATTCGGAATAAAATCGGAAATCTTCATAGATCCAAAGAACGATCTTCAAGATATACCAATGAGCTATATTCTAGAAATATTAATAAAACCAAAGAAAGAATCTGTAATTCGGAACAGCAAGCAAAAGATTTGCTATATATATCCTTATGCAAATTAGATTGGGATCCAAAATAATTTGGATTTTTCTCGAAATGCTCGACTTCAAATTTCCGAGTTCTCAATAATAATATTTTAAAATAGAGAAATACTATTGATATATGAAATCCTACATCGTTTTCCGGTTACGGCCCATCCCTTCCANNAAACCCTGAATCTTAGTATTGATGCCGAGCCGCTCTTTAAAAGAGTCAAGTGGGCGAATGGACGAAATCCTGTATCACGTATCTGTGTCATGGGAGTGAGTCAGTCAATATGTCATGTTCTTCTTACTGTGGCTCCTGCACGATTTTGTCCATACATTATCTCGGAATACGGTTTTCTTACTAATACAAGTGTATCCACTCGGGCATACCTGAAAAACGACATAACGAAAGCGGGCGTCGCACTTGCCTCTACCATCATGCGGAGGACACGAGGTACCGACAAGCGTAATTTAGGTGGCCACTAGGGGAGGCATTCTCAAGCGCCGGAATGGAGTCATGGACTATTATACTTCCGTCCATGCCGATAGCCTAAAATACCAATTTTCAAATTTCAAACTGGTTCCGTCCATAGCGATACCCTGAAATACCAATTTTTTTCGAGCTTCAATCTGGCTCTGTCGGTACCGATAACAAGAAATATAATATTTCTCAAGTTTCAAATTGAATCCTCCATTTTCAAATTAATTTCAAATTCCAATTTCAAGCTCGCCTCCTACGAAGGCAAAATATTTTCCCAGAGGAATTTTTAATAAATCCTATTTCTTTAGAGATCTATAGCATTTCCAATTGTGTATTCTAAAAAATATTTCCCTCCCTTAAGATGCGAATTTGAAACTAGAAATTCAAACTAGCTTAAAAATAAAGGAATCAATTTGAAATTTAAAGAGCACGAGATTTTCTATATCCAGAATCAAGGCGGCCCTTCCAGGGCTTATTTCATGAACTTCTAAACCTCTCGCTAAGATTTCCCGGGGAGCTACGAAAACCTAATCTTAAGACGGCGCCAAAGACTGGTAAGAAGCCTCTCACTATTAAACCCCTCCACAGCGTTTTCCAGAAACTCCTTAAGCTCATACCACAAGTCGGCCTACCCAACACGCCATCCGCCTCGGGCAGCCACTAAATATCTCTATATATAACTTCATCTAATACCAGAAATTAAAAGCAAAATAAGTATTATATCTTAAATAGACAACCTAGTGCTTATACTATTAATATCCTAATCAGAAAAGAGACAATTAAAATCATTAATATTACCTTTCTAATATAATTTCAATAATTTTCGAGATATAATCAATAGAGATAAATTATTATTTAATTTATTATATTTTTTTTATATGTATTATATAAATCGAAATAGAATCATAGAATAAATCAATTTAATAAATTCCAATGAAATCAAATCCAATATAATACTATTATTAAATAACGTAATTTATGAAGAATAATAATAGATATAGATTTCTTGAGTTAACAAATAGATCATTTTTCGCAAAGAATTCATATCATAACCTACTTTTTAATTGAAGGATTCGCGCCCAAGTAATACTAGTAAGACCTGTAACCTTTACAATTACAAATATCATATGGATTTTAAAAATTATCGCCTTCGGATTTCTCCTTCGATTTGTAAAGTTACAGTAGGCAGCCGTAATAAATATTTTGATCTATGCCCCAGTTTTATATCGATCTATGAGATAATGAGAGCGAGCCTCATATGCTTGGATTATTCAAGAAATCTGAGAATAATTTGATCGCACTAATTTGTCGCAAACCTTCGTCTCTTTCCTCGATAGTCGTAACAGTTGACTACAACGGTCGTAGGATTCTTCCGAAAGACGGGTCTGCCCCATGCAATATCTTATTTATTCGATATCAATATGGCAGGGGCAAAGATGACGATGCATCGTATAGGCGGCAATCTCAAGAATGTTTTGGGCGCCGTCGCCGAAAGTTAAATTCCTCTAGGCACAAACAGATTGAGAGCAATATACGATTGCTTCACGAGCTACAAAGCACTGGGTCCAGAAAACAAGGTTGTGGGTGTCTTCCCCAGTGAGTGAAACAAACTGTGATGGCCCTGCGCCACTGAGAACCTGCATGCCGCTCACGAAGATTGGAAAGCAAGGCCCGGGTCGCCTCGGAGCATTGAAAACCATACGCATGTACTGTTACGTTTAGGGTTTAGGGTTTAGGGTTTACGGCACGGCCTTGAGAGGACCGCCATGCCGGCAAGCGAAGAAAGCGAAGAAATACGACCCCTCTGCCGCACAACATGCTCTGCGATACACCACGTTTTGCACCACAGAGTGCAGTACAGAAACCTACTGAAGCAAACGCAAAACAGCCGAGGTATTATACTCTACGACAAGGCTCCATATGATGCTGTAGCAGCCTGGAAGCGTAATGATTCATAATGATACACGTCAATGCAGTGTGGCGGGACTATAACAGACTGCTGCAACATGCCATCACTGACGATGCAGACCAAATGCTTGGGCCTACTCTCGCGTGCGACATCGTATACCACGGCGTACCACAACACAATGTCACCTGCAAATACGTACTGGGACATCTTCTTTGATGTTTGGACAGACCAGAACAAGCGGCGCTATACGAGAACCCACTACAATCTATAACATCACGGAACTTACCATAAGATACCACGGCATGCAAACCATGCTGTCGAACCCCGTTGTTGTGACTTACATTGAAACATTGAAAGACAATGACATGCTCAAGCAGACTGCGCGGGAACAAACTGTGACATACGATACAATACTACAGCATGCTACGACAAACCGTAATCGGGTACTATGAAACACTGAAGCGAATGTCACAACCATCAGTCAAGTCCCGGCTCGAATGCCTTGCGACCTGCTTTTATAGACACACAAGGGACGTGATGGTGGAGAGATGTCCGTAAGCTTTGGGCACTTGAGAAGCACGACATTCTGACCTCAACCCGAGCAAAGCCTTTCCTTCTTCGTGCCACGCCACTAAGCTCCTCGTCAAGCTGCTCGGAGATACTCTCCAACCTTAGGTTGTTCGGGGTCTCATCCCTTTAGGAGCTTGGTGATTAAGCCAGGTGAATTCATGATTTTGGCTGCATCTGCTGCACGTATTGCGAGTTGACTCGCAGCGGCCGCTGCTCTTGGGGTAATAGGCCCTGGGAACTGTATTCACATATTGCGGTTACGATTCTAGAGGCTGTTGTGCTTGCTACTCAGGGTTGTTGTTGTTGCTCAAGCCACAAGCCCTTAACCCTACACTATCCTAAGCCCTATCTCCCTGAACCCCGCACCCTAACCTAAAAGCTCCATCCCTACTCGCTCACCAGCCAATGCTAAGCTGCTCGGAGGGCGTGGCTTCGGGCTGCTCGCTGATCGTCCAGTCTCAGCTCCCAAGCAGTGAGAGATACTCTGTGACAGCAGTCGTATACTATGATCTACTTCAGTGATGACTTCGAAACGACCAAAAAATGCTGCGTGGCTGGCATGGCATGGCAAAACTAACTCATGCCAGACAGCTTGATAGTGACAGCCAGAGTCTGTCGAGCGAACCGGGTCCAGAATCGTTTCGCCGGCCGGTGGCTGAGAAGTACAGCCTCGCTTTCTGAGCCTTCATGTACTTGCCTGGGTTGCTGTTTACGGAACTTAAAAGAAGTTGCTATAATAAGGAAAGCCTATTATTTACTATATATAACTCAGATTAAGTTCCTTAGCAGCAGCCCAGTTGCTGGGCCTGTCAAGCCTTCTGATCCAGAGGGAACGTAGGATCTTAGGGCTTGGACAGCCTGTTTGCCGCCGGGCATGGTTCACATAGTTGCTGATCGTTCCCCGGACCATGTTTATTATTATTACTATTATTATTATTAATATTAATATTGTTACTATTATTGTTAGTATTGTTATTATTATTATTATCATTATTAGTATTCTTATTATTCCCCGGACCTTCTCCCAGTCGGTGGGCCGTACGAGCTTCTTCAAGCCCATGGCCTCGGTGTCGGCTTGGTAATTCAAGTGCAGCTGCTTGATATCCTGGGTGGCCGAGTCCAAGCAGAGAATCATGTCGGAGATCTCGGGCAAGTTGAAGAGACAGAGCGCATCGGAGGCGGCGGAAGCAGCAGATTTGGCTCTCGCCGCCATGGCTCCAAGCAGCCTCTGCCGGCTCTCTCTTTCCGCACGCAGCTGGTCGAAGCTCTGTGGCGGGGCATCGGGAATTGCCTTAACCTCCGAGTCCTCCTTCAAGGCCAAGAGATGATAGTTCTCTTTGCAGCCGCGGAAGTGCGGCAGCGCAACGTGGTACACATCAACGCCAACCCTGGCAACCGAGCTGCTACACAAGGACACGCGCAAGCACGGAGGCGTGTCATCGCATACCTTTGCAGAGCTGGAAATGAAGTTTCTGAACCGAGTCTGTTCCTCTTCGTCAGACAGGAGAAGTTCCTGAAAACGCTTGTTTGAAAAATCTTCTTGTGTTGACATCAACCGATTGAGGCAATGACCGTTGCCCTCAATCCTCAAATCGCCATTGAGAAGGATCTCACCATCACAAATCCCTCGGAGGACCCGCCGGAAGCCGGATGTGATGGTCTCGTCGTCTGCTGACCTGAACTGCGCTTCAAGGCGCTGCTTCAAGCAGTTCTCAAGCACAACGCTGACGGTGCTGGCTGTCGCAGCAGCGAAGACTTGGATGATGATGCGGGGGATTGCCAACTCATCTACACCATGGGTCCACATGTGGAAGATGGCTTCTGCCAGTGACAGAAGGAACTGGCATGGGATGTGCAATTGGCTGTCCACGCATTGGATCACCATCATGATACGGTAAGCCATGATCACCTCCTTCCGTGCAGGAGCCCAAAAGAAGGGGATAAACAACAGGTAGCTGAGTACGAGGTATCTTCGTGCCCAGATTGCGGTCATCCTGAAGTGGCCTCTTGCGATCACCATGAAAACAACGGATTTGAGAAAGCACAACACGGCAAACAAAGGACTTCCCATCGATGCGAACAGTATGACTGCCAGCAGCATAGCATACTGCAGCAAGTTGCTGGCAGTGGCAAAATTCTCTTCGGTCAGTGTCTGCAACGCCTCATCCATGCGATGTTTTGACGCATCATTGGTTCCGTCATCGTCCCCTTTCTTCCGAAAATATCCCGCCCAAAGCCACCTGGCCAAGAGCTTGATATCGTTGCAAGCTAAACTGCCATAAATGATGGTCAGTGCAGGGACAACCGCAAATTCCAAGGGCACCATGAACCCTTGGGTAATAAACGAAAGGGGCAAGCGTGTGTTGCTCCCCTTCACGATTGAGCGTCTGGAGCTGCGGCATGCTCGCACAGCTCACCTTCGGCTGCATCTTCTTTGAGTGCGACCTCTCCTCCCCAACGGTTGCAATGTGTGCACTACATCCAACTGAGCGCTGCAACCCTGCGACCGCCCCAAAGCTGCAGCAACATACTGCTGCACGATGTTTTGGTGATAAGCTGCATGTAGAACTGCAATGTACTGCAGCCTACTGAGGTGAACGTAGAACGGGTGATGCATGCTAGTATACGATAGAGCCCTGTACGATGTTGGCATGGCATGGCAGATCGTGGCAGCATGCGGATACGATCAGAGACTACCAGCATAGCATTACAACGCCGTACAGTACGCTTTAACTAACAGTAACTAACAACAACAAGACAACATGCACCACCACCACCACCAACAACAACGACAACAACAACAACAACAACCAAAACCACCCCCACCACCGCCGCCGCCGCCACCACCACCACCACCACCACCAGAAACACCAACACCAACACCAGCAACAACAACAACACCAACACCAACACCAACAACAACATCAACACCAACACCAGCACCAACACCACCACCATCACCAACAACAACAACAACTACTACTACTACTACTACTACTATTGCAACCAGAGCCACGACTGCGACCATCACCAACGACG